GATTGTTCCAAGGAGTGAAAAGCAGGGGTAGAAGAGTCAGGCATGTTAAAAAGCCTTGGCCTCTTGACTTTTAAAACCACAAAGACGTATTATTTGAAATAAAAATTAAATGTAAAAGAAGATTCCACCATGAGTGACCTTAAAGTGTCAAAGTCTATCACAGAGAAACCGGATGGATTCTAAATCATAATTAATATTAAAAGCAAGCAAACAAGAAACTCACGAGGACTTTCAGACAACTACAGAGCTCAACAGGCCAAAAGCTTGAAGAGATCCTATCAGTCAGTCGCGTCAATAAATTATGAATGAGTGTCTACAAAGGTACTAGCCACAGTCCTAAGTAAACAGACAATAAACTCATAGATAAGAAGATTCCAGATTTTGATAAATGCTATGAAGATAATAAAGAAATATGGCACAGAACCCTAGGGAGGGAGGGAGGCACACCTGTTTTAGTTAGAGTGACCAGCGAAGGCCTCTCTGTGGAGGAGACAATTGCGTGAGATCTAAATGATAAAGGAGTCAACCACCCCAAGTTTTAGAGGAACTATATACTACCGAGAAAGCAAAGCAAATGCAGTGATCCTAGGACTGGAATGAATTTAATGAGCTCAAGGGACAGAAAGATTAGCGTGGCTAGAATACAGTGAACCAGGGGTAGAATCAAAAAAACTTAGATAAAGGGTCAGGAGTTGTAAAACCCTTAACCAAGGGAGTAGCTGGATTATAGAACATAAAGGAAAACAAGGCCACGAGAGAAGTCAGAAAAAGTAAGAAAGCTGACAATGGCAGGACTAACTGTGGAGAGAAAAAGAGGCAGCCAGGTTAAGCGATTAGGGAGATAGGCTTCAAAGGAGGTAGGGATTTCGAAGGAGAGACAGATTCAAAGCAGCAACAGGAACAACAGAAAGGTGGAGGTTACCTACCCCACCAAAAGGCCCAGAGGAGTGAGAAAAACAGCCTCTTTTTGAGAGGGTTAGTGATGTCAGCAGTCTGGGGAAACAGCACTCAAGCTGGCAGCAGGACCCCTGGACTAAATCCTAGCTTCAGCTCACACATACAGACATCTTCAAAAAGCCTCCAGGAAAAACAACAAACTGCAACTCACTTTCTTAATGGCGACGATTTGGTTGGTGTTCTTGTCTCTGGCCTTGTAAACCGTGGCAAACTAGAGAAAAACACAGGAATAACGTTAGGTCTGTGGTAGTTTTTGTGTTTGTGTTTGCCTTTTTACCCTTTTAGATTTGGGGGAAGCAAAGACCCGGGGTTCTGGGGGCCGACTCGCGGCGGCCTGAAGCGGGGGGTTGGAGGGGGTGCAATCCACGTCCCGCTGCAGTCTGTTCCTCAGAACCGGGGGGCCGCTCAGGGGCTCACCGTCGGGCTAGCAGGAGGCCTCGGCGGCCTCGCCCAGAGACAGCGAGCACCAAGGCCAGTCCTGTGGCTTCCACGAGAAACCTGCCAGGGCGTCAGGCGGCAAGGCACTCTCTGCTCAGGTCCCTCCGATCCGCGCCCAAGAGCCCTACCTGTCCTTCCCCGAGGAAGTCTAGTTTTTCGTAACGCTTTGCTCGCGACTTCACGTCCACAGCCATCGGTCGCGCGAACCCCGACTCTAGCTGAAAGGGGTGAGCTCCGAAGACGACAGGAATTTAAAGGAGCCTTAAAGCCCTCTACAGCCACTTCCGTTCACTGGGCTCCGACGCTTTATTAGCTCCGCCCCCACTTCCGGGATGGGCGTGGGTGATAGTCCGTCGGTCCCGCCCCAGCCCGCCCCACGGAAGCTGTGCGAGGCCGGGCTCCCTGGTTCGCTGCTCTACTCCCCGCCCTGTCACGTGGCCGCCTGTGGCTGCCGGAAGCAGTTTATTTATTACGTGGTGCCTGTCTGTGACACTGTGTTACTGCTTTAATTTGGATAGTTTCTTCACTACCGGGGACAGGTCAGCATTTTAATACGATGTTCTGAGTTCGGGATTTAATAGGTGTGTATGAGTGCGCAAGGCTTGGCCTTGTCCCTGATCTCGCTTTCTGGTTCTGGCTCAAGGGCGTCCTGTCGCCACGGTTCCTATGAACGCCTAGCCCCACAATCTCAGATTACTTAGACGAGTCCCCAGTTCTTAAGGGCTGGTCAAGGGGCATTCTTAGCGCAATCCCTTTGTGAAGAAGCACGTCCTGGGAAACAAAATCCAAGTCAACTGAAGAATTTTGTGCTGTGAAACGGACTTCTGGTCATCACTTTTCTACTCTGTAAAATGGAAATAATAATAGACTACATCATAGGTGGTTGTGAGGATTAAATGAGACATGCAGAAAGTTTAGACAAAGTGCCCAATTAAGTGTTAAATGTGATCGGTACCAAACTTTGATTCTCATAAATTTTCATACAAAGCAAAAATTAAAGACTGATTTTTTCGGCAAATATATATTGTTTACTGTGTGCCAGGCTGTGTCGTACGTAGACTCTGAGAAATCAGCAGAGAAAAAGACAAACATCCCTGCCTTCCAATGGGAGGAGAAAACAAGTAAAAGATATCTTGATACATAGAGATAAGTGCTATAGAGATAATAAAGCGGGGAAAGGGTATAGAGATAGTAGGGTTTGCACTTTTGAATAGTGTGGTACAAGAAAGACATCACTGAAAAGCCACTGCAGTTTTGAGCAGACAAGTGATACGATCTGACTTAATGTTTTAAAAGGTTCACTCTGGCTGTAGTGAGAGACTAAACTATACACTTAGAGGGGCAAGGAGAAACAAGAAGCCCTGTTAGAGAATTATTGCAATAATCCAGATGGCTAGATTAGGTGGTACTAGTTTGGCTTCTAGCCAATAGGATTTGCTGACAGTCTGGCTATGGGTTATGGGGGAAAAACAGGATAATTCCAAGGTTTTAACCTCTACAGCATTTGATTTTTCTAAGAATTGAGAATCCTGATTTTCAGAGGTTATGTTGAAGGCAGCAGAATACCAAGACTCATAATTTGATAAAAGTAAAAAAGGTTGAGTGCTTGCTCTGGATCTAGATGCCTGCATTTGAATACTAGCCCCACAAATATTCACTCACAAATGTCTAACTTGGGCAAATTATTTAACCTTTCTGTTCCTAGTTTCCTTGTCTGTAATAGGCCCGACTCATAGTGTTGCTGCAAGGCTTAAATAACTTCACACTTCAAAAACCCTTAAAATAGTATCAGTGCTCATTTTATGTTAGCCATTACATAACTATTTGATCACCTTCCAGCTCTTTGTCACTACTTGGGTCTTTATTGAGCTCTGATGTGTTCCTGGGCAAAATTCTCATACGCTGCAGAAAACACACCATTTTTACCACTTATATCTCTTAATTGTGGCAAGTCATACCCAAGGATACATGGTGTCACATGATTTAGGTCAAAATTCCTCTGAAAGACATCACTGTAACAAGTAATCTAACCTTACTTGTAGTAGAAATAAGCTAAACAGTGAGCTCAACTTGATGGTACACCTGTGAGGCTTGAGGTTCCTAAGTGTGTCATGGCATATGAACTGATAATCACTCCATTACGCCATGCTGCCAACAAGTAAATTCCTATTTGGGGACATTTTATATAGGGTAACAAAGGCAGTATTTAGGTGATATTCTGGGTTCATTAGGTCACTGTAAATATAAAATACCATTCAGCATCTGTATAGAATTTTACAGTTTACAAAGCACTTTCACACATTGGTAGTAGCCAGCTTCCGAGATGGCCCCGATGATTCTTGCCTTCTAGTATTAATGCACTTGTGTAGTCTCCTCCCACAATGAAACAGGCTGTTATGTGTGACCAATCAAATATGCAAGAAGTGAGTGTGTGCAACTTGAGTTTAGACCATAAATGGCATTGCTGCTTCCACCTTGCATGCTTATATCATTTGCTCTGGGGGGAAGTCAGCCATCGTGTCATGAATTAACTCAGGCAGCCCTATGGAGAGGAAGTGAGGCCTCCTGCCAACAGCCAGCATCGACTTGCCAGCCATGTGAGCAAGCCACCTCGGAAGTAGATTGTCCAGACCCCATCAAGCCTTCGGATAACTGCAGCTCCAGGTGGCACCTGATTGTAACCTCATGTGAGACACTGAGCAGAACTGCCTGGCCAAGCTGCTCCAAATTCCTGACCCAGAGAAACCATGAGCTACTAAGTGATTATTGATGTTTGTAGTCACTAAGTTTTGGAGTGATTCATTACCCAGTAATGGACAATACACTAATTTGGTCCTGCCTATCACACTGTAGAGTACTGGAGAGGAAATCCGAAACTTGGACAAATGAAGCAATTTGCTGTTGGTTACATGCATTTAAGTGCTTAACTTCTAAATGAAAATACAGGTTATTTACTCTAAGCCTAGCCAGAATTCTTTCTATGACACAATCCTCCTTGGGGGCTCATCCTATGACAGCAATTCCCAGTGACATGCCTTTTTGCCATAGCTGTACTCAGAGATTCTGTAACAGTGATATATTTTTTCCTTGTGACTTTCATGGCAGCAGCTGTAATAAGGTGGCCTACAAGCAGTTCCAGTACTGGGGTTTCTACCTGCTGGCCCACCGTCTTACTCAAGCCAGTCTTAATTACTTGAACCCACTCTGTTTCTGAAAGCCAAAAAAATGCCCTGGGCCTCCTTTTACTGAAATGAGAATGCTAAGGAGAAAAAAGGGAATAGTGCCAGTCTTTAAGAAAATTTCTCAAATAAATTTCTTAAAAAATTTTTTAAAAATCATAAATCATGTATTTTTCATGAGTCACCAGAACAGCTTATTGCTAGCACCAAACCTCTACCTCATATTTGAGTTGGCCAACATTTATACTAGGCCACAACACAGAATCTAGAAGAGAAGCAGATCAACTCTAAATAGTAAAAACAAGTAAAGATTAACCCACAGGCAATTGGGCAAATATAAAAATGTACTCAACAACAGTTCTACTCTATTGCTCATGAGCTACTTATTATTAGGGATGACTTCTTTAAAGCATATTTTAGAAATCATTAAAGGTGTGGAAGAGAATTTATTTAGCTTTGTGAGGCTTTACTTTCACAATAATACATACCCTTGGCACAGGAAGACTCTATTAAATTGCTCTATTCATAAATTGCCTTAATAAGGTAAATATTTAGGTTGATTTTATGAGGCTTTCAGATAGTAAGTTTGAGAAAATTAACGGTTATCAGGATTTGCATACATGATCACAATCAAAAAGTAAAGTAAACCAAAGAACAAGACTTTCTTAACACTCTTCAAAACATAATAAATTGCACTTTCTACTCCATTTATTCCTATGTTATATTCACTTGATCTCTTAATTTATTTTCCATTTCATACTGACATTTTTTTCTGAATATAGGTTACAAATAACTTTTTAACTCCCCAGTCTTAATAACACAAAGTCACTTGTTTTACTTTGCCTATATTTTTATCATTTAGAGTAGGATATGCTTATTAAGCCAGTTAGACTCCATAACTTGGTGAATGAAAAACATTAAGAGAATTAACAGCAAATAATGGAGTCATTATTTCACTGATCCTCATCCAATTTCAGGAAAAGCAGTTACTGAAAGCAGGAATTTTGCCTGAAAAATTCTTTCTGTGTCTTAACAGAAACTGAAAAGAAAGTGAAATTATGGGAAACCTGATAGTTTACTAGACATTGTGTGCTTTTAATCGTTCAACACTGGTAATACTTGATAATCAAGAGTAAATTAATAGGCTAACATTTAAAAATATATACTTTAATAAGTATATAAACAATTAGGTAAGCTTGTGGAGAAGCTTACCAAGATACATAAATTAGGAGATACAGGCGTCCATCTAAATTTTCGATATTTCATCTTTTTACAGAATATTTATTAAAGTTGTTTAATGTACAATTTCTCATTTGTCATTTTGGAAGTCCTTCACTGTAAAGACTTCTTTTGTCTGACGACAAACTAGCAGCCACGTCGTCAGTGATTATTCTGGACCTCCACGCTGAAAAGCAAAAAATAAAGCAATAAGATTAGGTGTTAAATTTACAGAAGAAATGTTTTCATGACCACTATACAAATTTACACCATTTTAAGTAAATGATCTTTAGTTTTTTTTAAACAATTTCAGGTTTTTCATTGTTTATAGGCACTCATCTCGGTGTTAGAAACAATTTCAGATCTGGAAGGGACTCAAGGTTGACCTAGATCAGTGGTCCTCAAATTTCTTAGTCTCAGAAGCCCTTTACAGTCTGAAAAATTATTGAGGACCCTAAAGAGCTTTTGTTCACTTGGTTATCTCTATTACTATTTACCATATTACACTTCTACACACATATTCCCCTTCATGCACATTTACTGAGGGCTCAGACACGGTTTATTTCTCATAGTCCTGGCCTACCTGACCGTGTCTGTCTGAGCTATGGACACATCTTGACAAGACAATGGGAAGAGCATGTAAATCCACATATGAAATTCCAAAAGCCAAAAAATGTTAAGGTGGTTTTTTTTTGGGTTTTTTTTGAGGAATATTAGCCCTGAGCTAACTACTGCCAGTCCTCCTATTTTTTTGCTGAGGAAGCCTGGCCCTGAGCTACCATCCACGCCCATCTTCCTCTACTTTATACATGGGATGCCTACCACAGCATGGCTTGCCAAGGGGTGCCATGTCCACATCCGGGATCCAAACTGGCCAACCCCGGGCCACCAAGAAGCGCAACATGTGCACTTAACTGCTGCGCCACAGGGCAGGCCCGTTAAGGTGTTTTCACAGTACTGTGATAGAGCAACAACATACCTGGATAAATTCCATTTCTTCTTGTGACATGAGTTTCCTTCTATATTTCTGAGGTAATGTTTTTATTATTTCTGCAGTGTCTGGTGGACCCTGATACATCAGCCAATCTGGTGATTTACTTCCCTTAGAATGCTGTGAAACTGACGAAGAGTGAGACGGTAGTCCTGCTGATCTCAAAACTTCTGATACTGAAATTGAAAAAAGGGGTCATTAGAGAAACTGTTCAGGTGTCTTAAGATACTATTTTGAGTGATCTATTAGTGAATAATCAAGTCAATCTTGAAATGATAAGTACTTTAATTCTCAAAGGTAAGGATTGTAGAGTAACTTAGCTGAGGAGCTATATATGATTTCATAAAATTCTTTTTAAAATAAATAAGTAGTGAGTGAATTACTAAATTGAACGAGTTTGTAAAATAATGAAATTTCTAGGTAGTAGAGTCAAACCCATAAGGATAACCTACATTATTTAAGTTTTGTCATATGGTGGAGTTTACAGGTAATGTCTTACAACGGGGAATAAGAAAGTTGGTAAATTTAGATGAGATTAGTTTTCTCAATACCTTACTACTTGTTTATCACATATATCTTAATTATTCAAGAGTTACAATAAGGTTAAAATATCCATATAAAATTTATTAAAATTCCCCCTGAATTAAAGATCAGGTATCTTTTTTTTTTTTTTTTTTAAAGATTTTATTTTTTCCTTTTTCTCCCCAAAGCCCCCCGGTACATAGTTGTATATTCTTCGATGTGGGTCCTTCTAGTTGTGGCATGTGGGACGCCGCCTCAGCATGGTCTGACGAGCAGTGTCATGTCCGTGCCCAGGATTCGAACCAACGAAACACTGGGCCGCCTGCAGCGGAGCGCGCGAACCTAACTGCTCGGTCACGGGGCCAGCCCCAAAGATCAAGTATCTTATAACAAACACAGGGATAGAGGATCTGGTAAAAAGGAAGGGTCACAGAAAAACAGGAGTTTTTCAGAATCTTTGATTACTTTATAGGCAATGAATGCTAAGATCTAAGGCAATCTAAGAAACATTCACTGATTAAATGAATAGATAAATGAGTGAATGCAAGAAAAAAAGGTTAGCTGGGAGAGAAATATAGGAATGGTTATTATTCCTCACAGTCCGCAAATGTAAGCATAGGAGATTCTTCTATAGGATAGAAGAAAAGAAAGGCAGAACAAAATCACACTATATAAACTCAGTATCATTAAAAATTCAGAGACATCTACTGTTGAGTCACTACCTTTTTAAATGGAGGTAACAAAAACTTAACTTCTACTTGCATGCAACCTAAGGCACCATTTTGATCTAAACTACAATAATCCGGATTTTAAAATGAGAAATATTGCCTGTAATGGAATATTCAACTTACCATTGGGTTTAGGATTGTCTCTTCTGTCAGGGAACCTTATTAATGGAGTATGTGGCTTGACTACCTAAAGGAAACATAAAATGCATGAGAAAAAAAGATAAAGCACTAAAATAACCTCATTAACTATAAAAGAAACAATCTACTGAACTTCAGAAATAGATACTGTCCTTAAAATAACTTAGTATTTGACAGCAACTTTAAATTTTACTATTTTACTCTTCCCAGCCAGGAAAGCTGGTCTGTGAACTATTAACTCGTTTATCTTATCTGCAATTCATAATAACTTCGTACTTCATACATCACAAGACATTTCACCATACTACCAACTGACTTCAAAACAACCCCAGGAAGAAGATGGCAGAGATTTTATGTTGATGACTTATCTATCGCCCTGCTGATTGGTAAGAACTGGAAGTTTCCTGACTTCTCATCTAATGTTGTTTCCCTGCTATGTTAATACCCAGAAGTTTAGAATGGGACAAAAAGAATACTGAAAATTAGGTAACTAAAAAATACTTTCTCTGACTGCAAAAGTAACATATGTTCTGTGTAAAAAATTGGGAAAAAACACAGAAAAGCACAAAGAAAAAAACACTATCTATAATCCCAAAACCCATATAAAACAGATGTAGACATCTGATAGCCCTTTTAGTCTTTTTCCTATACCTACAGAAATACATCTTTTTAGAATACTGTTTTTATAACAGATATTTGAAGAGTAATTAATGTTTTATCCCTAAAATTCCAAATAATGCCATAGAGGACCTTAAATGGAACTTTCAGTATGAAATCTTCTGAATATACAATGCTAAGACTCTAATGAACAGAGTACTATTTCAACTACAGTTATCTATAAGTTGCTGTGTATCTAGTGAGACTGAAGTGTTTGTCTGCAACATACTTGTATATATGCACTAAATATTATACATTTTATATGAGTACAGAAGCAAATAGGCTTGTTGGGACTGGCCAGAAAACTCACCACTTTAACTCTGCTGCCTTGAGAAAATGCTGGAATATAGTTGTCTCTGTCAGCATAAAAGCACACTCAAGTCTTTCATGTTAAAAAACAAAACTTCTCTCTCCCTCTAGCAACTGTTTCTTCCTTTTCATAGCCAAAGTTCTTGAAAGAATGTTCTATCCATCCTATTGTCAATAGCCCATTTAAAAGTTGTAAAAACGTTCAACAGCTTTCAGGATAAACTTCAAACTCGTATTTGGCACTCACAAGGCCCATCATGAACTAGCCTCTCCTACCTCTCCAGCCTCATTCCCAACCACTGTCTTTTACTCCAGGTATTCCAAAGTACTTTTTATTTCCCTAATTTATCAGGCCGTTTCCATCCTCATTCGACCTAGAGCTTGCATCCTTTGCCAGGAAATCGCCCCAGTCTCACCCCACTTCCATGCCTCCGCTTACACCTGACTGCTTATCTTTTAAAACAGTTCAAATATCACTCCTCTCTAAGCTTCCCCTGATTCCAAAATCTGATTTAAATCTCCTCTTTTGTGATTTCATGGTATCCTGAACCTCTTAAAAATATTGTGCAGAGGACAGATAAATGAGCCAATGATTACAGGAGAGGTAAGCTCCTGGAAAGGCAGAGAAAAGCACTTTTGTAATGCCTGGTACATAGTAAATGCTCAGGAAATTTTGCCAAGTGAATGAACAGACCATTGTAAGTTAGAACTAACTATACAGGCATGTGAATACGTATGCACACACTTACACAATGGTAAATACACTGAGGAGAAAGACTCTATTTCAACATTGCTTTTGTACCCTTAAAAATATGATGTAATATCCCCTTATAGATTAAATCCCAGACTTTTTGGTGTCCCCTTTTTAACAGAAATTTAAAAAATAAATAAAAGTAGAGAGAGTATAATAGATTCTGATAAACACGTTACACAATTTCGAGAGTAATACAGTCAACCTTATTTCACCACCCCCTCCATTAAACAAATCCCAATCATCTCGTCTGTTAATGCTTTCCACGTGTATCACTAACAGAAAAGGATTTTTGTTAAACCATAATCCCAATACTTTTACAAGACTTAACAAATTAAAAATAGTTCTTTATCATCTAATACTTAGCTTATGCTCAAATCTTCTGTCTCAAAGTTGTCTTTTTAAATTTTAAATGTAAATACAAAGAGAAACAAATAACTAACTGTATATTAGTTGGATAATATAACTAAGGGAAAAATAAAGGAGCTAATCCAAGTAACTTTCATAGTGCTTGAACTATATACCATCAGTCTAAAAGCAAAGAAATCTTGAACTTTTTCCCTAGTAGGTTGGTGTTGGTAGTTGTATAGCTATAGCTATGCTGAAACCATTCTGTATACACTTTAGGACTGAGCAAATGAATACATACGTAGATTGATGTTTGGGGGACCCAGGGATTTCCCTTTGAGAGAAAGAAAACACAAATATGGAATGGAGGAGGGCAAGGAAGAACGCTGCGGTGTGAAGACTGGAATCAGAGGGGTCAGTATGAACTCATGATAATGCCATGAGTTTATTCACCCAGTCCCGTTAATGGATATTTGGGCTATTTGCAGTCTTTCATCTATTACCATAATGCATAAAGTCAATATCCTTGTACTAATCTTATCTTTGCCAGTATATCAGTGGGAGAGATTCCTAGAAAAGGGATTGCTGGGTCAAAAAATAAAACATAATTTGGGGCTGGCCCCGTGGCCGAGTGGTTAAGTTCGTGCGCTCCGCTGCAGGCGGCCCAGTGTTTCATTGGTTCGAATCCTGGGCGCGGACATGGCACTGTTCATCAGACCACGCTGAGGCAGCATCCCACATACCACAACTAGAAGGACCCACAACGAAATATACAACTATGTACCGGGGAGCTTTGGGGAGAAAAAGAAGAAAAGTAAAAAAAAATTTAAAAAAAAAGGGATCTAAAGACAAGATTTATTTAAAAAAATAAAATAAAATAAAACATAATTTTCAAAGCTATTGCCAGATTTTCCCTTCATAGTGGTTTATTTTGCATTCCTATAGCAACAAATGAGTGCCTGCTTCCTCACAGCCTTCTCAACGGACTTACATTATCTAACTTGTACATTTTTTTTTTTAAAGATTTTATTTTTTTCCTTTTTCTCCCCAAAGCCCCCCGGTACATAGTTGTATATTCTTCGATGTGGGTCCTTCTAGTTGTGGCATGTGGGACGCTGCCTCAGCGTGGTCTGATGAGCAGTGCCATGTCCGCGCCCAGGATTCGAACCAACGAAACACTGGGCCGCCTGCAGCAGAGTGCGTGAACCTAACCACTCAGGCACGGGGCCAGCCCCTAACTTGTACATTTTTAATAAAATCTAATTGATGAAAAATGTTATCTCCATGTAGTTTCTTTTTCTTTCTTTCTGTTTTTTTTTGTTTTTTTTTTTGAGGAGGATCAGCCCTGAGCTAACATCCATGCCCATCTTCCTCTACTTTATATGTGGGACGCCTATCACGGCATGGCTTGCCAAGCAGTGCCATGTCCGCACCCGGGATCCGAACGGGTGAACCCTGGGCCACCGAAGCAGAATGTGCGAACTTAACCACTGCACCACCAGGCCAGCCCCTGCAGTAAATTTTTAAATTAACTTTGGGAGAATTGACATCTTCATGACGATAAATATTCCTATTCAAGAACATGGTATGTCCGTTTGTTGAAGCCTTCTTTTATGATTCTCAGGAGATAGTTTTTCCTCATATAGGTTGTAAACATTTTTAAGTTTATGCCTGGATTTATTTGTTTATTAATTATAAGTAGAGTTTCTCTTCCATTACATCATGTGATTGTTTTCACACATGAAGATATAATTTCTGTAAGTTCATTTTATATCCTTCTACTTTCCTAAAGTCTCTTGTTTACGTGCATATAGAAATTGTTTTCCTTCTTCATTTTTTTTTTTTGAGGACGATTAGCCCTGAGCTAACATCTGCTGCCAATCCTCCTCTCTTTGCTGAGGAAGACTGGCCCTGAGCTAACATCTGTGCCCATTTTCCTCTACTTTATATGTGGGACGCCTGCCAGAGCATGGCTTGACAGGTGGTGCCATGTCCGCACCTGGGATCTGAACCAGCATACCCCAGGCTGCCAAAGCGGAACATGCGCACTTAACCACTGTGCCACCAGGCCAGCGCCCCAAATGTTATGCTTTTAATAGTTTTCTCTTGTTCAGTTGCATTTGCTAACACTTCCAATACAATGTTAAACAAACTGGGCATCCTTATATTGTTCTTGATTTTTAGTAGCAGGGCCACGTTAAAGAACTTTCTATCAATTTCTTTTTGATTGTTTTTTTTTGTTTTTTGGGGTTTTTTTGCTGAGGAAGATTTGCCCTGAACTAACATCTGTGGCCAATCTTCCTCTTTTTTTCTCCCCCCTCTCCAAAGCCCCAGTACATAGTTGCATATTCTTAGTACATAGTTGTAAGTCCTTCTAGTTCTTCTATGTGAGCTGCTACCACAGCATGGCTACCCACAGACAAGCCGTGCAGTTCCACACCAGGAAACCGAACCCTGGCTGCAGAAGCAGTGCACACCGAGCTTTAACAGCTAGGCCATCAGGGCTGGATCTTATTCCTCCATTTTTAAAGTTATATTACATCTATACAGTTGGAACAAATAATATTACCATCAAGTCTTTCACCCTAATTTCCATTATTTAGTCTTAGTTCTACAATTAAATACACTCAATGCTCATACCCAGGTCCTATATCAAAACAACTCTAAGTACAACTAAGTATTTCTTAGTTGTCTGAAACTCCTTCTCTGGGAGATCTGGTTGAAAGGGCTCCAGGGAACAACATTCCCTCAGGTATTCAAGGTTTAGAAGAGTTTGTGGCCTTTATACTTGAAGGCCAGTGTAGCTAGCTAAATCTTGGATTCACATTTTCTCTCCTTTGCTACCTTGCATATGTTATCCACATGTCCTCCTTTATGAAGTATTATTGTTGACAATCTGATAACTTTCATTTTAAGTGCTTGGTCTTGTTGCCTGGATCACCAAAGAGTTTTTTCTTTTTTTCTTTAAAATCTAATGATTAGACTAACCCATCAGTCAACCATCCCGGGCTAATTCCCTCAAGTACAAGGTATACGTTTAAGTCTTCTTTTAGATCAGGAAGTTTTATTAAATCACAGATTTTGAGATTTATTCTATTCTATTTGCTTTTACTTTGTCAGAGACTTACTATACAAAAGTTGCATCTCCTTGTCTTTACCTACTTCTATTCCTTTCCCTGAATCCTTTTAATCTCTTCCTTCTTTATTCTGTGATGTCTTTTAATTTTCATCCACTATTTCCTTTAGCAAAACTTCTGAGTTGCCTACTTACCTTTCCATTCTTTCTAGTTTAGTGTTACTTCTGAAAAATTCTTTTCGTTTATTCTTAATTCTTGACTGAGTTCAGAGCTGTACCATTCCTAAAATCTTAACCTAAAATCTAACTGCAACTACAACCTTTTAACCAATAACTCTCTTCTCTGTTACTCCCACTAGTAGTTGCATCAAGTCCTTCACTTCCTTGATCATTCCCTTTTCTCCCAGTCAACTGGTTCCATCCCGACTTGACTTCCTTTCATATCTAGCCTAGAAGGCACTGTCCATTCAACATTCTCTTACCAATGCTCTCAGCCTGCTTGCTGGAGGCTTATTTTCACCGCACCTGTAAATCTCAAACCCTGAACTAATCCAACCACCCATCTTCTTCCCGTGTCTCATGCAGCCAAATGTTTTCCAAAATGATAAACTATTACCTTTCTGCTTTTACATCAGCCCAAACATACCAAATGTATACTACTTGGCATTCAGCAGGCATTTAATTAATACCTATAACTTACTCTTCTAAAATTATTTCTAAATACCCCATATCAGGTCAAATTTCTCTACTTAATGCTGACACCATGCTTTGTGGATTCTCATCAGTTTGTGCCTGTCAGTCTGTTGAAATACTCCTCTTTCTTCAATAGGGATCAACAGCAAAATTCTGAGCTATATAGAGGCACCATGTCTGTCTTCTTGGCACTGTAGGCCCAGCACTGAGTAGAGGCCTGGCACAGAGGTACTCAATAAATTTTGTTCATGTAATTATTACATAATATTAGCACACGTTGTTTTGTATTATGAATATCTGAATACAAGTCTTTGCAGCTCTGTTAGAAGACAAACCATTCCTGATTGTATCTCTCTCAGTATTTTTTTCACATAAGAGTATTTAGTTCTTTATTATTGCTGCATACTATTCCATTTTAACAAATCTACCACAGTTGGTTTATCCTGCTAATGGATATTTGGATTGTTTCTGGTTTCAGGGTTATTATGAATAAAGCGGCTATGAACATTTTTAAATAAGTCTTTTAATAAGTATATACACTCATTTCTCTTGGGTATAAACCTATGAGTAGAATTGCTGGGTCATAGGGCAGGTATGTTTAACCATTAGAGACTGAAAAAACTTTTCCACAAGTGGCTGTACCATTTTATACACCTATCTGCAATGTATGAGGATTTCTGGTGTTTCATATTCTCATCATCACTTGGTATTCTCAGCCTTTTCGATTTTAATCATTTTGGTGGGTGGAGTAGTACTTCCTGGTTTTAATTTGTATTTTCCTATCAAGTAATGATGTTGAGCATCTTTTCACAGGCTTATTGCTCATTTGGATAGCTTCTTTTGCGTAGTATCAAGTTTTTTACCCATTTTTAAGTTGAACTATATATTATGGGTATATATGGTTACGTACGTATTATGAATACCAGTCCTTTGTCAGATGTTCTCCTTGTCCTCACAGAATCTTTAGTTAATGCTCACTGATGACCCACTCAATGAATAAGGGATGATCATTTGCTGCAACAGGACCAAAGGCTGGTATCTAGGATTATCTTTCAGACTGAAACAACCTTAAGACAAGGTCTTTTAACAGATGCACTTGTTAAAGGGAAATGCACTTCTCATATCAAAGTTAAAAGTTATTCATACAATAAAACATTTTCAGAGCTTAAAAAGATCGTGCAAACCAACCACAAAAGTGGAGGCTGTGTCCCTTTCTATATTGTTACCTCTGCTATTTAAGCTAGACACCACAGGTGGAGAAGCAAATACAAAAGCTATCAAGAGTTAGTAACTGATGTGTGAATTAACAATCAAGTTCCTCTAGCTGCTAATCTAAACTCAGAAAACAAAAAGCTTAGGGAACCAACACTAACACATGTATTACAGATAAACTTAAGTAATATCCTTTTTTCTTCTATTCTCCCCATCCGGCCTGTAACCAGACGCTTGCATTGGCGGGGGAGAAGCGGCAGGGCGAGGAGGCAGCCCGCGGGGCCAGTTCTCCGGACATCCCCAAGACCTTGAAGGGACACTGGGTCAGAGGCAAGGTTCGCTTCCTTTCACCCGCTGCTACCGCCTGCCCTCCGATTGGCTCCTCCGGGACACACGAACAATACTAGACGCCGATTGGCCCGGCTCCTGCCCGGGCAGCCGAGCCCGCAGACTCCGAAGGGGACTGACAAGGGCCTGGTGGAGGGCAGTCCAGGGACCGAGGCAGGTACGGCCTACCTGCTGAGATGCGGCACTCCCGCGGCCTGACTCCAATCCTCAGCTCCGGTCCTCGGCTCAAAGCCCGACCCAAGGGGCTCAAGGTTCAATTCTCACACACACCCCCGGGCGCCGCCGCTGGCCCTGCTCAGGGCCCGGCCACCGCGCAGTCTCCGCCACCGCCTTTCCTCCCCAGCGCTGCTGCTATAGTCAGCACCATCCCTGCCGCCCACCGTGCCGAAAGGCGACCGAATCTCTTTACCTGAACGACCCTGCTGGCAGACGCCATCTTGCTGCCCATCATGACCCCCGAGAAGGGACAGCTTCCGGGGCGCTGAGGAGCTGCTGCGATAACAGCAGCCCGGGGGCGACGGGGGGCGGGCCCTGCCTATGACGTCACGGGGGAGGGGCGAGCGGGTGCTGCGGCGGAGCCCTCCTCGGCTGGGAGCTGGCCGCGCCCCCGGGAGCCCGAGCCCGCCGCCCCTCGTCCCGTCTAGGAACTGACCGACTTGTTTGTCGGTGTTTCCTTTTCTGGGCGAAAGTTTGTGACGTTGGGTTTATTTGCTCATCAGCCTATGAGGGATCTAGGACTTTCCTTTCCAGGTAGCCGGTTTCTAATACTCCGAAATTTAATCTGAAGCCAAATAAGTAAGACAAACTCTTGTGGCTTCCTAAAATGAACAATCTTATTAAAACTTGGGAGTTAGCAGCAAACTCAGAAAAAGTGATTAATTCCAGGTCTGTACAAGGCCGCCTCATATTCCTTTGCTTATTGGCATTGATGGATTTGGTCTTCTGTTTCTGTTTTCTCTGCCAGTTAGTACTGACGTGAAACTGCTGCCTGCTTCAAGTTTGAGAGAACTCAAAAGCTCAGTTTTTTCTTTTTGAAACATAAGCATCCCATATCATTCTCCCAAAGTTATATTAAGTTCTATGGGTAAATACTAATGTTTATATTGTTACAATTTTTAATGCACAATAATGTGGCCATTTAGCATACCTTTATAGGTAATGTAGCCTTAAGCTATTGTAAAATATTTAGAGTGACAATTTTTTTCTTGTCTAGGTTAGTGGTTTCTAAATCTGGAAAGTTTTTAGGAATATAAACTACCAAACCCAAATATGGGCCCTTCTGATTCAGTATGTCTGTGGAAGAGATCAAAAATCTATTTTTTAAAAAGCTTTCAAAGCTTATTTTAGCAGCACATATTCTAAAATCAGATTGATAAAGTGATTAGATGGGCAAAGGACATGGACAGGCAGTTCACATAAAAAAAATACAAATGGCCCTTAAAAATATTAAAAGAATTCAACTTCACTCATCCTACGAAAACGTTAAACTACAGAGAAAAACCACTTTAATCCATCAAGTTGGCCAACATGCATAATTTGGACAACACCCTCTGGGGCAGCTGTAGGAAAAGAGGCTGTGTACATCACTGGTGGGAGTAAAAGATGGTACTTGAAAAAGCTACTTATGGGGCCGGCTCTGTGGCGGAGTGGTTAACTTCACGCGCTCCGCTGCGGCAGCCCAGGGTTCGGATCCTGGGTGCGGATATGGCACCGCTCGTCAGGCCATGTTGAGGCGGCATCCCACATCCCACAACTAGAAGGACCTGCAATTAAGATATACAACTGTGTACAGGGGGCGTTTGGGGAGATAAAGCAGAAAAAGGGAAAAAAAGAAAGATTGGCAACAGTTGTTAGCCCAGGTGCCAATCTTAAAAAAAAGAAAAAGAAAAAGCTGCTTACTGACTGACTCCAACTGTGTGACATTCTGGAAAAGGCAAAACTATGGACACAGTGAAAAGATCTGTGATTGCAAAGGGTTGGGGGAGGGAGTGATAATAGGTATAGCTCAGGGGATTTTTAGAACAGTGAAACTATTCTGTATGCTAGTGTAACGGCGGATATCTGTCATTTTACATTTGTCGAAACCCACAGATTGTACAACCTTTGGATGATGATGACATGTTAATGTAGGTTCGATTGCAACAAATGTTCCACTCTAATGAAGGATGGTGATAGTGGGGGAAGTTGTGCATGTGTAGGGGCCGAGGGTATATGGGAACTCTCTGTGCTGTATGCTCAATTTTGCTCTGTAGCCAAAACTGCTCTAAAAACTAAAGTCTATTTAAAGTATAATTTTAGGTCAACGTTGCTGAAATCAGATAGACTAATGTGTTCTGAAAGCTCAAAAGTTGCAACTATAGTAGATAACACTGTATTGTATGATTGAAATTTACTAAGAGGGTAGAACTTAAATATTCTCTCAAAAAAAAAAAATGGTAAATATGTGAGGTGATGGATGTGTTAACTTGCTTGTGGGAATTCTCGTACAATGTATACCTATATCAAAACATTATTTTGGGCCGGCCCCGTGGCCGAGTGGTTAATTTCGCGTGCTCCACCCTGGGCAGCCCAGGGTTTCACCCCTTCGGATCTTGGGCACGGACACAGCACCAGCTCATCAGGCCACGTTGAGGCGGCGTCCCACATGCCACAACTAGGAGGACCCACAACTAAAGATATACAACTATGTGCTGAGAGGATTGGGGGAGAAAAAGCAGGGGGAAAAAAAAAAGATTGGCAACAGTTGTTAGCTCAGGTGCCAATCTTTAAAAAAAAATCATTCTTTTGTACACTTTAAATATCTTACGATTTTATTTGTCAATGATCTCAAAAAAATTGGGGGGATAAAAGCCCAAAAGCAGCAGCAGCTTAGATTCCGAGTACACAGACTTTTTATTTACATACAGGGAAACAGCAAGCTTCTATGTGAAAATCTATATTAGATTCTCATCCTGAAGTCATTTAAAAGAAACAGACAGACTTTCTTGGCTACTTCTCTAAATAAAATAAACATTTTTCATTTTTCTTTATGACTCTATTTGAGAAAGAGATGAAGAAAATGGGCAAAGAAGTCCCATGATTTAAAGTTTTTATTAAAAGATAAATCCTCTAATACCGAGAAGTCTCCTGGGAATACCTGGTGATACATTCAGAAAATGTCAAATGCAGTGCAAATTACTGGTCATATTGGTATGGATTTTGTTCGGGGGAGTCTGCTAGGAAAATGCTGTCTTTTCTCTGCTTGTGGGTTTATACCTAAGTATTGGCCTTCATACTCCTTCACAGAATTCTTATCCAGGCCCCTCGTGGATTAGTTCTCTCTAGGATGAAGATAATAACAGTAGGTGAAGCTGGGGCAGTGAACTGCCTCGGTCCCCAAATCATGTTGCTCAGTTTCAATCAGCCTCTTGACTGTCATCAAATCATCTGATTACTCACCTAACTCAGGTCCCATGATTTTTGTATATCCTCAATGCTATTATTTGGCTATTTTTGTGGACCCTGAGCACACCATCTGATTCTGCCTCTTGTGTTGTGTCTTCTTAATGTCCCTATCTCACCAGGCCTGTAACTCCTTTCTTGTTCCATGTACCCTGTTCCTGACATCGGCTGTAGATCCTTTAGGCAGAACTCAGCATGCATGACGGCCTCCTGATGTGATACAATGTAAAGTACCCAGCACAATCTGTGAATTTTCCTCATGCAAAAATTTGAAACTGCATTTAATAAAGCAGTTAGATCTAACTTCTAGTTTACAGGAATACAGAGGTGAAACAAGCTACATAAACTACGAGGAAGCAATCAGACAAATCAGAATAGAGAACTTTCTACAGGGTAGCTGGTTTCTTCAAGTGGATGACTGTCAGAAAAATGGGGTGGAGGGGACATATAATCTCTGTTGCAGCTACTCAGTTCCATTCAGCTATGCTATTGTTGAGGGAATGCAGCCACAGATAATGTGTAAAGTATGGGCGTGGCTTTGTTCCAAAAAAATTTAATTTACAAAAACAGGCAGCTGGTAAGCTATAGTTTGCTGACCCCTGATCTAGATGAACCAACCAACCAAAACAACCATCACCAAGGCCAACAACAAAATTTTTGAGAAAAATATATTAACAAAAGCACCACTAACCTAGGGGATTTTAAGACTGACTGAGATGTAAAAAGTTCTTTGGGTCCCCCATTAAGGAAGCTGCTCAGAAAGGCATGCTCTCTAATGCCCTCTGCACATATGGCCAAGGTTAGTAATAGAAACAGAGAACCTCCCAAAGGGCAGAGTGATGAACCACAGATGAAGAACCCCTTTCAGAGAGCAGCAGAAGAGCCTAATCGAAAGGTGTTCCCTATCCCCCAGGGAGGGGCACCTCCTATCATTTACCAAGAAATAGTTCAGAATTGCTACATTGTCCACTATTGTTTGCTGGCTGTGTGAAGCAATACAACTTGTCTTTTCAGTTTATAGGTCTCCAGATCAAGAAGAGACGCATCTGGACCTGATGTGAAGACTATGGTGAGATCCTGAACTTTGAAACTGTTATGATTGGATGACATCCTTAACTTATCCTCCGTGGTGAGCGGGTTTGTCTTTTACATGCAGAAGAGAAGTTAACATTTAAGACCAAGATAGCAGACTGTGGTAGACTGTATTCTTTTCAGCAAAATTCCATTTTTTTTCTCCTACCCTGAAACCCTGCCTTCCCCTGCTGTGGGAGAAGTGTATGTTCCTGTCCCGGGGATGCTGGGCTTGGTTAATGGAACCTGGGTGGAAATAATGTACACCTCTTCCAAGTAGAAACTTTAAATGTCCCTGTGTACTATGACTTGGCCTTGTAAGCCATGAGAACATGTTTCAGATAGTGGCTGTTCCGTTAGCCTGGATCTTAGAATAATCAACCAAACCATGGATCCAAGAGAGAAATAAATGTTTGTTATAAGCCACTGAGATTTGTGGTTGTTACTCAGCCTGATTTCAGGAAAGCTAGACAATTTTTCTCTCAGAGTTAGGCTTTAAGAGGGAACACAGAGGACAATTAAATCCCAGGAAAATGGAAAAAGTTTCTCAGATGACACTGATAACCCACTGAGTTGGCATTCACTGATAAAGTGTACATCTATGATTTATTTAATGCTGTATCTTTCGATCAGGAAGGTATTTTCCAGAATGTTTTTCTATCAGAAAAATTTGACTTGTTTTACAATTTATCTAGACAATTTCCAAGAATACACTGTGGTAAAAAGAATAAAACTACACATAAATTATGATTTATCAAAACAAATGAAGTAAAACTATTAATATTCCAAAAAGTGTTTATAATTCAAATTTAGGCAAAGCTCTGTATTTCTGTTATTGATCTACAGCTCCAAATATGATCAAGAGCTCCAAATTAATAAAGAGCTCAAATTAGAGTTTTCCAAAAAATGGAATGGGATGCTATAAAAGGTTGCAAGTTTTATTTTTTTAATAGGACAGAGTTACATTTATTCATTTTTTTAATTTATAAAAGTAATGCATGATAAATATAGAAATACAAAAGAAAAAGTCACAATTCCTCTATGACGACCATAACTATTAACACTTTGGATATGTTTTTCTTTCTCAAGGTTGAGGTGCTTTATCTGAGTCTCTGTTTAAAGCTATGGATGAGGAGTGGGGGAACTGGGGAGATAGTAGTCAAAGGGTACAGACTTGCAGTTAGAAGATGAGTGTTGGAGATCTAACGCACAGCATGGTGATTACAGTTAACAATACTGTATTGTATACTTCAAAGTTGCTAAGACTAGATCTTAAATATTCTCACCACAAAAAGGAATTGATAATCATGTAACATGATGGAGATGTTAGCTAATGCTACAGTGGTCAATCAACAGGTTGTACATCTTAAACTGACACAATATTATATGTCAGTTATATCACAATAAAAAAGGCAAAAAAAAGAATCTGTAGTGAGATAAATCTAAAATGAGATTTATTTGAATAAAATACAACTGACAGTTGAAAGAAAAATAAAGATATGGATACGCTTTTCTAATTTTTCTAATATCTTACTGACAAACAAATAAATGCACAGAGGTATTACAAATGCAAGTTGGAACTGCCAGGAATGTTGTAGAAAAAATGTCCACATTCAGTGGAAAGCTGGACTAGATGTCTTTCAGGATCCTTTCAAGGCTAAGATTTTCAGATTCTTTTAGAGTATGCCAATCACTTTAATTATCATATTTCAAACAACAGATTCCATGTTGTAGTGTTAACTCAAGCGAAAAAAAGAAAGCAATATTAGAATAATTCCAAAAACAGTGAAAAAACATTTGACTTGAAATTTGCTATTTAAATGACACATCAAAGACAGAAACAAAAAATGCCAAAATAGAATTCTTATTAGATCATGGTGAGATTCTTCTCAAGCTGCAGAACAGTTTCTTTAAAGGCAGAATCCTCTGCCCAATTGGCTTTACTCCCCAAGATGAGGTTCTGTAATTAAAAAAAAAAATTTTTTTAAATTAAAGTTAGTACTTTTAAAACTTTAACAAGATTCTTTTTTCTTTCTTTTTTAATTTTTTTTGCTGGGAAAGATTTGCCCTGAGCTAACATCTGTTGCCAATCTTCCTCTCTTTTTTTCTTTCCTCCCTAAAGCCCCAGTACATAGTTGTATATTCTAATTTTAAGTCCTTCTAGTTCTGTGTGAGCCGCTACCACAGCATGGCTATAGACAGAAGACTGGTGTGGTTCCGTGACTGGGAACCAAACCCAGGCTGCTGAGGCAGAGTGTGCAGAACTTTAACCTCTAGGCCATCAGTGCTGGTTCACAGAAGATTTTAGAAATCCTCTTTCACTGATCTTATCAAATATTCACTGAACTAGGTGTGAACATTTACTCTGTGATCATGAGAAAAAATAGTAATACGTTCTTGTATTCTCATTTCCACTTTCAGTAAGGCTTTAGCCTTCATTCCCTAATGCTAGGGAATATTTACAATGTTTACAGTTGTTTACGCTTCATCCGTTTCTGTGGATAGTTTTTACCTAATTAAGGATCCGCACAGTGGATCCTAAATTAAAGGAAAAAGATTGCAGCTGTGGTTCAGAGTTCATTTTTGCACTTCCATGGTGTAAAACAATTTCAGCATATGTAATATGCCGTATTTTAAAAAGAGGTAAAAGAAGAGCTTGGTTCTCAGCCCTTGCAAAGTTTCAAGACCCTGAAAAAGGTGAAGAATTTTTTTGTGGTAGAAAATGGAGGAATAATTATGGTCATAATTACTGAAAATTCTGGTCATTATTCTTTGAAAAACTATGGCTCAATATTACTGAGTTACTAATTGAAATACTGTTAAAACAGATGTTAGAGTATAAGTATTATATTGTTATATATAAAAATATTAAAAACTTAGGCCTATATAAGGCATATTCTTTTTTTGGGGCAGTAGTTTTTTTTTTTGAGTTCATAATAGTTTACATCATCGTGAAATTTCAGTAGTACATTATTTCTTGTCTGTCACCACATAAGTGCTCCCCTTCACCCCCTGTGCCCACTTCCCACCCCCCTTCCCCTGGTAACCACTAAGCTGTTTTATATAAGGCATATTCTCACTGTAAGTGAAGGAAAGAGCTAGTTTATGTAACTCCAGTCATATTTACAAAGGCAGATAGGAGCAAGCATTCAAACATGAGTGATCTCCTAAGGGCTGATCTTCCTTTAGGAACAAAGAGAGCTCCTAAGTTGACCAAAGCTATGCTCTGTTTAACAAAGCAGTGAGTTCATTAAATAAAAATTAACACTAATTTAGAGGATATGAATAAAATTAAGAAATGCAGAATAATAGAAGTCTCAAAGCAGTAGAAAGGAACATGTGCCAAAGAAAATGTAAATGATTCTGTACTTATGATGCAATCCTCCACTTGAGGTTAGCCCAGGGGATTTGGTTACTCCTAATCAAATCACCCACCCCTACTAAAAAGTAGGCATAAGACTTGGGGAAGAATTTCCTATGGTCAGATATAAGACCTCTTATTCTACAAGGATATGCTTTACACATAACAGGCATTTGTTTTACATATAATAGACTGTTTTAACTGTGTATCTTCAGAGTTGAAAACTGGTAATTTAAGTACTTCATCTCAACAGTTCCAGAGACAATTTATAATTCTAAATGTAATGAAAAAACTCCAGAATAAAGGAACACATAAAATTTAAAACTTGACATAGTAACTGCCAACATTTATTGAGAATTTACTTGGGCCAGACACTGTGCTAAAGAGATTAATATGAATTATCTTCTTTAGTTTTCACAACCACTCCTTCTAAACAAGGAAACTGATGCTTAGAAAAGTTAAATTATTTGTATATGGTCAGCAACTATTAAGTAGCAATCTAGACTCCCATCACTATATGTATGTTTTCCCACCTCCGAACTTGGAGTTTAATGCTCTCAACCATTACACCGTTCTGCCACCACAGAGCTGCTAAAATCATTCCATATAAATGCCTGAGGTTCAACCATAACAAAAAAATCAAAGCCTTAAATATTAAATATCCATGCATTCCAGATACTATCTGTAAACAGACCAATACTGAATTATTTTGTCAAGATCAAAGACTAACTGAAAGTAAGTCTGAAACTAATATAATCAATCATTTAAAAAAAGTTCTTTAGCTCCCTTCCTAATTTATGTAAATGTTACCTGGAACACATGTTGAATAACTGTAGTAATCTGTATCTCCATCTGTAGGTTTTGTTGTATGGTTTTTATCTTGTCTGAATTTTCCATACTGTCCAAATCATCTTTCTGTTTGTTCTTTTCAGTCTGTATTTCTAAAAGCTTACTTTCTGAAGCTTGTTTTAATTCTATGAGTAAAAATAAAACAATATACTATATATGACAAGTTCTACAAATAAGAATCTTGAAATTTATGAAGCAGAAGAGTTCCTGGTTATTTCAGTCAAGAGAAAATTTTTAATAAGTAGCATTTTAAATTGCAGTTCCATTTTGATCTGAAAATGACTTCCCCAGTGCAAAATACCAATATTTTAATTTTATACTTAGTAATGCCCTCCGTGAAATGTTCAACGTGTATGTATGACAATGATAGCTGTCTACAAATGTCTGCAGTGGCATCATGTCAAAGAGGACTACTCTGGGTTGGCAAAAGAATAGGCAGGAGATATATGTAAGGAAATACTTTTTCCTCCTTTATTTACAAAAATGACATATCAATAAGGTAAATTTTCAATGAAAGTAAAAGTCCCTTCTCCAGGGATAAACATCATCAACTATTTTTTGTAATTCCCAAAATGTTCTAAGAATTAAACTGTTTAAAAACATAAATGGGTGTGTCTCAGGAGCTTGGTTCCTTGACACTGATGTATCAAAAGTAGGTTGGAAAGCAATGGAAAAAAATTAAATATCCAAAGGGTTATTTGATCAGATGACCAAAACTACTTGTGACCCTGAGATTACTTCCAAATAGGAAAATCTGTATAATATTTAAAGTAACAAATCATTCCTCTATTGTTAAATGAACAAAGCAGTATACAACAGAATAAAATGATGCCAATTTTATTTTATAAGAAATAAGCATTTAAGACTGATCATCTTTTGATGGTAAAATAAAAAATTTAACTTTTCTATGATCCTTTTCTGTTTCCAAATTTTCTATAGAGAATGTGTACTACTTTTGAAATAAACATTTTAATAATTTCAATGCAAAAAGCCATTTCGTGTTCATTAAGTTAAAAAGCTGTAGAACCATATGTATCAATTGATCATTTAAAAATTATGTATATATAAATATGTTTATATGGCTGTGGAAAAAGGCCCAGAATGAAATATACCTAACTGTAGTCACACAGGAAGGAGGCATCACTTTCACATTATACTTTTCTGAATAATTTGATTTTCTCCCCCCACTGAGAATGTATGAAATTTGTGATTTAAAGTTCTAAAACAACAAAAATAAATCAAGCAAAATACATTTTATATACTACTTTTTAAACTGTCATGTCCAAAATTTAAGAAAATTTGAACTTTAAGAAATTTCTCAGTGACTGAGAGATTTGGCCTTATCAATCTCCATAGTGAGTAAAAATGTGTGTACCAAAAAAACAAACAAAATCTGTTCTACATACGCAATCTCTTCTTCCTAACATCAAGCAATTTTTCCTCCAAATCCCAAGATTCCTGTTAATAGAAATAAAAAGATTAAGGCACATTACCTAAGAACAAATCTTTAATACCTAAGTCACTGAATTTTATCTATTAGTTCATATTTTTGAAAGCTCCAGTTTTCGATTCCTTTATTTCCACCAACAAAGAGAGGACAGTAGCTTAAATTACAAGTAGATAATTAGCAACATTGGACAGAAATAATGGAGTTATGAAAAAGAGAGAGAAAACTTAAGGACAGTGAATTCTAACCATACCAGTCCCTTTGGGTAATCCTATTTAATCATAAAAAATACAGTTACCAGCAAGAAAGTGTTACTGAAAACATGAGAATGCATAAGCAGCCTAATGTGCAAAGTTACCTGCTGTGATTTCATTATTAATTTATTTAGCTTTAATACATGTTTCATGTGATCCATGAGCACACTGAAAAGGAACGAAAAATAGGATTTGTTAACCTTAGTTAAAAAATAATAAATCTCATTAATGAAGAAATCAACTAGTATATATTTACTTTCATTCAATTCACTGTATACTTCAATAGAAAGCCATCGCTTAACAACAGAAATCTGGAAAAGTTTGATATAAACTAAATTTCTGTTTAAAATTAAAGACGCATGTCCCTAGAAAACTTTTTGGTCACAGATGACAAAGAATATCAAATTTAAACATGTAGGAACATTTCTAAAAACCTCATATTTAGGGAGGAAAAACCCTAATAGCTTGCTTTTTTAAAAAATAGATTTTATTCTTTAGAGAAGTTTTAGGTTCACAGCAAAACTGAGTGGAAGGTAAGCCCACGTACCCTCTGCCCCTACACAGGCACATCCTCCCCGACTATCAACATCCCTCACCAGAGTAGCCCATTTATTACAAATGATGAACCTGCGCTGACACATCATTATCACCCAAAGTCCATAGTTTACATGAGGGGTCACTCTTGGTGTGACATGTATCCACCATACAGGACAGTTTCACTGAATAAGCTACTTTTTATCCTCATTTGTTCAACAAATATTTCCGAGTGCTTACTACATTCCAAGAACTGTGCCAGGCACCAGGAATGCAAACTAGACTAAAACACAATACCTGTTTTCAAAGAGGAAAGAATCTGTGGGAGAGAAAAATAAATCCACAACCATAGTGTGGTTTCATTACAACCAATAATCAAAATGAACCACTGTAACAGTTGTGTGCAGAGTAGAACAAGGGAAAGCCCTTGGATCTTAAAGGATGTGCAGTAATCACCTAGACCACCTAGATCAAGTAATTGGCTATGGCAGGAAGAAAAGGGTGTGAAATAAGACTGGACAAGAACAGTGGTTCTCATACTTCAAACTGCCACAAAGTTCCTTGGGAGGCTTATTAAATGTAGCTTGCCAGCTGTTCCCCCATTCCCCTAGCCGCTCCCCATCTTCAGAAATTCTGAGTCAGCAGATTTGGGATGGGACCAGCAATATGATCACTGGTATAATACTAATTATTCTGATAATCAGCCAGCACAAGAAATATTGTAGAATTTTATTGGGGAGGCTGAAAAAAAGGAATCTTTGCACAGACCTGGGAGAGCTGAACTCAGTTCCTACTAGTTACAGCTGTACTTGGTTGTAAACTTTAAAACATGCTAAAGGCACTGCCTCGGCCTACTTGACCTTTCTATCGTCTTTGGAAGTCAGTATGTTGAATCTGTCCTGTACTCCTTTAACTCAAGAATGTTTTAAGCTCTCCTTCTACGGGGGAGCAATAGTGCGAGAGCCTAAATTCAGATTTTAGGATTTATGTAATCCTGGGATTAAATGGAATATGGTAGAATGTGTATCAGTCTGGACTAAGATGCCCCGATAGGGGAAGTGCCCAGATCCATCTTGGCACTCTTCTGGTGCTAAAGGCAGGGGATTTTTTATCACAAGATTTTGAGAGCTTTGGGAGATAAGATCACAGGTAAGGCCCCTGAAGTCAGACACTTAGGAGCAGTTTATAGAGGACCCTGACTACCAAAGTCTTTATTTTATATTCCTTGGCAAATTGTTTTAATGTATACAAGCTCATTTCTGCCAACAAAAAATGAGGAGTATACTTCCTATCTCATTGGGTTGTTATTGTCTCATTAAATGAGATAGCACTGTTCCCATTTTACAGTAAATACTGAACAAAGTTAACTTTCAATACCTCCCTTCAAAATTTTCAGACTATCTGGATAAAACTTCCATTGCTTCTTAGGGTTGTAATCTGAATAAGATGTCAACACGACTAGAAAAGTTGTTGTAATGCTGAGGGCCCACAAAAATTCCATCACTTTTCTTATTTCTGAGATACACGTAGAAGGCAGTGACAATTAATTTAAGAAAAAAAATTTCACAAAACTAAAGTCATTATGTAGCTCTCCCTTCTTATTCCCATCTTTACCAAATCCAGAAAAAAAAAAAGTACCTAGTCTTGGTGTCAGTTTTCTCCAGGTTTTTTTTCAGTGCAGTTGAAAGTTGCATCCTATGAGAGGAAAAATGCTTTCATTATAAAACAGGAATAACATTTGTGGTACATTGAAAAGAAAAATTTAAAAATGACAAGATTGATTTCTATTTATAACATAAAACATAAGTAGGCTTTAAAATCTACTTGTATGGGAAATACTTTGATAAACAAGTCACAGAAATATGAAATAACACAAAGATGGATGGGGCTGTTACATGTGGTTGTGTGTTACCAGGCTGCAGGGCCCAGTAGACCTGAAATCCAGACCAAGCTTTGCTCTCCAAGCTATCCACCTTGTTGCAGAGCCTGGAAGAAGCATTAAGCATTAAGGCACTACACAGATCAGCACCAGCCAGAAATGGAAAGAGGTCTGTAACTTTAAAATATGCCTGCATACACACAAGCTCCATAAATTACTTTTAAATTCAAATAGCTAATAAATAAGTAATAATAAAAAGGCAATCAACTCAGCAATATTAGAGTCATTTCTTCTCTTCTGTCACACACACAAAAATTTGATTCATTGAGAGGAGATATCTTAATAGCTCTCAAGTCATCTTAGTTAAAAAATATGTTGTATATAATGAGCCAGCATATGAGATGAGGAAAAGGAAAAAAAGTTCACTGCTAGAAGCAATTAAAGAAAGGGGTTTTAACTACTTTTCAATTAAATGTATGAAGAAAATCATCTGGTAAGGCCGGAGATACAAAGAAGTAATTTTAAGAGTCTTTCATTTAGTTGAGATTATTAATTCAGATCACAAGTCTACAAGAGACCATGTTTATCTTATTAACAGCTATATACCAGCACCTAGCACAAAGCTTAGGACATAGTAAGCACTCAAATATTTGTTGAATGAATTTTAAAATACAAATGCAAAACCTATATTTAAAAATATATTTAAACTCACTGACAATTCTTTAACTCGATCAACATTTAATGAAATAAATAAATCCAACTAATCCTTTCAAACACTGAATGGGATTTAACCTCACCCTCCTGTTGTCTTGACTGACAGTTCCTTATTGACCCTATCTTATGTAACTTCTTCAAATGAAGATATTAATGAATTATGTAGCTTTTCTCTCAGGGCTCAAAATTTGTGTGGCCATTATCTAATCATCATTTCACTTGATTAATTCATTTTGACTAATTAAAACATTCCTTCCACCTCCTGCTCTACTCATTTTACATTCAATACTTATACATAAAATGTAATAGTTACCTGTCTAATGCAAGCTTTTTCATTTCCACAGCAATTTTCACCTCTTCAATTTCAGCTTCCTGGTCTTCAATTTTACTATCAAAGAAGCATGAACAAAAGAATTTCAGCAATATCAGAAAAGTCACTATTGAAGTAAATGTATAAAGTAACCCTTGAAAAAAGTAAAATGCCTCTATCTTAATAAAAATATTCTACAGCTGACCACACCAATGCATTTACAAATTTGATAAACTGGTGCCTCCTGAGATGCTTTTCTAAGTATCTTCTTAAGGGGGATGCCAAAAGTGGCAATGTGACCACTCACATAAGCACATTTAAGTCTACACCCCATGACAACAACTTCTCAATACATGCATGACAAATTACTTGAAAAAATAAAGGAAAGGAAAAAGGAAGACAATATTCTAAGACAGAAAATATTACTAAGTCTTAGCAAAAACCTCAAATAAAATTTAAAAGTATGACATACGCTTCAATTTGCTTTTCTTGCATCATTTGTTCTGGAGTTTTTTCTTCATCTACAAATAAATAATTTTTTGAAGTTAGTAACATTTTAGAATAGCACTGTCCAACAGAAATATAATGTAAGCCACAAATGCAAACCAAATACGTAATTTTCAATTTCTAGTTTCCACATTACAAAAGTAATGAGTGAAAATAATTTGAATATAGCTTATTTAACCCTATAGATCAAAAACATTATCATTTTAACATGTAATCAGTTTTAGATTACTAATAAAATACTTCACAATCTTTTCTTCCATGCATATTTTCTGTTTACAGCCTTTCTCAACGAGGACAAACCACATTTAAGTGTTCAACAATCATGTGGAGCTAGTGGCTACCAAATCGTACAGAACAGTTTTAGAATGACAGAAAATAAAAGGGATTAAAAATGAACAAGATCAATGTCAAAAAAAATCAACTGTAAGTTTATATATTAGCAACAAACAATAAGAAATTAAAAATTTTAAATATCATGTACAATTGCATTCAAAAACATGAAATATTCGTCAGCATCATGATGGGGTGAGCTGTTAGTTTTTGCCCCCACTAAGGAACAACCAAACGGACATTCACTAACCAACAGAGGATTCCCTACAAAGCACAGTAGGACGTCCGAGAGATCCATGCAGCCATATATCTGAAGGTAGGGGTACTAGATCTGGGGAAACAGTGGAAGGAGGTGAGCGGATCCCCTCCTGATCCCCAGCAGCAGCAATCTACATCACAGGTCCTCACACAGCAGCTGGTGTGTGACTCTAAGAGGAGGCAGGGAGCAGGCAGGCCTGCACATGAACACTTTTGCGTTCAGAGTGGCAACCTGGTGCATAGGACTGCTCCATACTGGCACAGAACAGCTACTGCATGGCTGTCCCACCAAGTGTAGCAGCCGAGGTGAACCACCCATGAGTGCAGAGTGGGCCTGTGTGTGCATGAAAGAAAGTGTCCCTCCTGCACACCTGCCTACCGCACCACCTTGGCTGGTCCCAGCAAGGCTGTGAATCCTAACCAGAGTGTCTGTGCATACATGTGAGACCCAGCAAGCAAATGAAGATGAACCCTATCGGCACAACTTCCAGCAGATGCAGCTGGTTCAGAAAACACAGATCCTGCCCCATTCTCAGTGGTGGCAGGTCGAATCTGCAACCTGATACTACCACTATGCGCTGGCAAAGGATCACTTCATTAAACACCATGAAGAACTACATTAACACTCCATAGCAGAAGGAAAATGACTAGTCTCCAAAAATCAATCCTGAAGTCACAGAAATTTACTAGCTAAATGACAGAGAATTCAAAACAGCTGTCACAAAGAAACTCAACAAGCTACAATAAAATTCAGAAAGACATTTCAATGAACTCAGTAATAAAATTAATGAGCACAAGGAATTCTTCACAAAACAGATTGAAACTGTAAAAAAAAACATTCTGGAGATGAAGAACACAATGAATGAGATAAAATAATCTAGAAAGCTTAAAAAATAGAGCTGACATTATGGAGGACAGAATGAGTAATTTAGAGGAAGAAATAGAGAAATGCTTCAGGTGGAGGGGGAAAAAGAACAAAGACCAAAAAAATGAAGAAAGTTTTCGAGAAATATCTGACTCAATTAGGAAAAGCAACATAAGGATTATAGGTATTCCAGAGGGAGAAAGGAGCAGAGATTATTATTCAAAGAAATAATAGCTGAGAAGTTCCCAAACCTGGGGAAAGAAATGGAGTCACAAGTGTATGAAGCCTATAGAACTCCTAATTACATCAATGCTAAAAGACCTTCTCCAAGGCATATACCATTAGAACTGGCAAAAGTCAACGACAGAAAAAATATTAAGGACAGCAAGGCAGAAAAAAATAACCTAGAAAGGAACCCCTATCAGGCTTTCAGCAGATTTCTCAGTCGAAACCCAAAAGATAGGAGAGATTGGAATGATATATTCACAACTCTGAAAGACAAAACTTTTCAAGTTTATTGGAAGTATTTTTCCAAACTGCTAAGAATACTCTATCTAGCAAAACTATTTTTTTTTTTTTGAGGAAGATTAGCCCTGAGCTCACATCTGCTGCTAATACTCCTCTTTTTGCTGAGGAAGACTGGCCCTGAGCTAACATCCATGCCCATCTTCCTCTACTTTATATGTGGGACACCTACCACAGCATGATTTGCCAAACGGTTCCATGTCCGCACCTGGGATCCGAACTGGTGAACCCTGGGCTGCCAAAGCAGAACATGTGCACTTAACCACTGTGCCACTGGGCCGGCCCCTAGCAAAACTATTCTGAAGATACAATGGAGAAATAAAAACTTTCCCAGATAATCAAACACTTAGGGAGTTCATTGCCACTAGACCTCCCTTACAAGAAATGATCAAGAATGCCCTCATACCTGAAACAAAAGGCAAAAGATTACAAAGCCTTGAGCAAGGAGATACAAAGATAGACAAAATGAGAAAACTGCAGCTCTCCATTGGAGTAAGTTAGCAAACAATTAATTATGTCATAAAAGATAAAGGGAAAGCATCAAAAATAACTCTAAACACTCCATTTTAATCACAAACTCCCAACACAAAACAGAATATTTGTGACAACAATAACTTAGATGGGGAAGTAGAGAGGGATGGAACCTGCTTAGGCTAACAAAGATAAGACGCTATCAGAAAATGCACTATCTCATTTATGAGATCTTTTATACAAACCTCATGGTAACCAGTAAACAAAAAATCAGAGCAGAGACACAAATCATAAATAAAGAGAAAACTGAGAAAATCATCATGGAAAACCATCAGACTGAAATGGCAGTCCAAAATACAAAGGAAGAGAAACAAAGGAAATAGAGAACAACTGGAAAACAACAGATAAAATGGTAGTATTAAACCCTCATATATCAATAATCACTCTAAGTGTAAATTGACTGAATTCTACAATCACAGACACAGAATGGCTCAATGGATTAAAAGACAAGATCCAACAATATGCTGCCTCCAGGAAACATCTCAGCTCTAAAGACAAACATAGGCTCAGAGTGAAAGGATGGAAGACAATAATTCAAGTAAATGGCAAGCAAAAGAAAGCAGGTATTACCATACTTATATCAGACAAGGCAGATCTCAAGATAAAAAAGGCAATGAGAGACAAAGGGGGCACTATATCATGATAAAAGGGACATTCCACCAGGAGGACATAACAGTTATGAATATATATGCACCTAACACAAGAGCACTGAAGTATATAAAGCAACTATTAACAGACCTAGAGGGAGAAATTAACAGCAACACAATAGGAATACTACTCAGCCATAAAAAAGACAAAACCATCCTATTTGCAAAAACATGGATGGACCTTAAGGGTATTATGTTAAGTGAAATAAGTCAGACAGAGAAAGACAAACACTGTATGATTTCATTCATATGTGGAAGATAAACACATAAAGAGAACAGTTTAGTGGTTACCAAAGGGGTAGGGGGTTGGGATGAGTAAAAGGGGTAAAGGGGCACATATATATGGTGATGGATAAAAATTAGACGATTGGTGGTGAGCACAATGCAGTCTAAAGAGGCTACAACCTAACTTTTTGTGGCTTGCTTTAAATCTGTCCTTTCCTTTAGTTGTAGAAATTCTATAGTGTGGACTGTTAAATCTACTAAAGTTTTCAGATGTCACAATTCCTTAAAAATACAATAATCTATACAAGGAAAACAAGAAACATAAGAGAAGGATGACTCTTTCTTCTCACTTGGATTTTAGCTTTAATGAGAAGGATGACTCTTTCTTCTCACTTGGATTTTAGCTTTAATGTCTTCTCAGAGAAGCCATCTCTGATTACTTTATCTAAAGCAGCCCCACCCCTTATCATACCATTATCTCCTGCATCACATTTACCACATTTCATAATTATCTTGCATGTTTCTTTGCTTACCTATTTTGCTACACAGAATTTAAGCTCCAAGAGGGCAAAGTCTGTCTTGTGCAAGACCATATCTCCATGCCTAGCATGGTGGCAGGGACATATCACTTAAAAATGAGTTGAATGAAGGCAGGAATACCTATGGAGATAATTCCTCAATGGTCCAAATTTTGAATTGCTTTTCCCCTATACCTCGTCCTCTAAGAAGATAGATTATCCTTTTTTATTAGGAGGGTTCTCATGCCAGGAAAAGCATTGGCCATGTCCTACCTCTCATCTCTGAGGTAGGGCTCATCTCATGGGCTTTGGAAACAAGGAGACCATTAGCTCCTCCAGGGAAAGGACAGTGACCTACTGGTCATCCTTGAGCTAAGCATTATTGATATAGTAGAAGGGTCATGGCTTTGGAGGCAAGAAGGCCTGATTCATATCCCAGATCCATAATTTACTAGTTATAGTAAGCAGGAAAGAGGCTAGGGGACCCATTTTATTCATTTACTTATTTTTTTGCATAAAATTACTTTAGAAACCCAGAAGATTGTATGGAAAACACACCAGAACTGTCTTCAGATCTATGGCCTTAAAAAAGAGCTTGAGCAGAGTCCAAAAGTTACCTAAATTCAAACACGGATTCAGGTGAAATGATGAAGACATCTATGATGTCCCTTGGTTTTTCCACAACTCTTGTATTATTTGCTTTTATTCTTTAAGCTACAGAGAAAGAAAGATTCAGCAACATCTATCCTTGTGACCCAAGGGCTTATCAATCAGGTGGCAATAAGTGGTTATTACTTTAAGAAGGCTAAACCCATCATTTCACTACTCTCTTGGTCCCTGAGACTTTTGAATTAATAATTTTAAAAGATAAATTTAAATTTTTTGTGTGTTTAAAACAGAAAATTGTCACTCATATCTTTAAGCTGATCTCCCTTCTGCCTCTCGTTCCTATAATCCAGTGTTCCTCAAAGTATAGGTCTCAGATTACTTGCTTAACAATCATCTGATCCACTAATTTAATCTTCAAGTTCTTAATAGTAGCAGGATCTATGATTCCTTCAGCCCACAGGGATTTCCCAATTCTCTGATCAACAGAACTTAACTGTCTTGCATTGTTAGTTGTCTTATGAATATTTCCTGAATCCCTAACTAGTTCCTAAGAGCTGGGGCAAGACTGCTTTTTGCCTTCTTATATGGTAGAGTACTTTTATGCTGCCCCTCCCATTCCCTAAATAAATAATTTTTTGGAAAGTTGATTTTATTTTCCCTAGTGTACTGTACACCATCAAACTCACAAAACCTTATGTGAAAATGAAAATACTTACTTGCATCAATCATTGATTTATATTCCAAGAGTTGTTGTTTCGTCTGTGCTCTCAGCCTAAAAACAGATAAGGAAAAGAGAAAGTCCTACACTTACTGTGGTTTTACTCATTACTGTATGATAAACCAACTCATCTTTTTCTGAAGCTGATGTAGCAAAATGAGTATAAGTAAATCAGCATTAAAGTCTTTCAGTTTGGCCTCATTTTATTTAAAATGGACATAAAGAACTGTAAGGCCTCAGAGGAAGACACAATGGAATACAGCAGGAAAACAGCATTTGTGAAGGAGAGTTAAAAATTTGATTTTTGAATTTATTCTTAATGGGCCACACTGAAAAGGGGCTTAATGAGAGCTGCTACACAAAGAAGAAATAAAATGGTAAATTACCAACAGACTGTAACAATGTCAGGAGATATAGAAAAATAACAAAGATACTAATCCTTGGATAGACAGGTAATCTATATAGTTTCTTAGTTGTCCTATGATTCTACTTACCTCAGAATCATAAATAAAATAAGTAGGAAAGCTATGGGTAAAATGGTAATTAGTTATTAAGTTGTATTTACAACATGTTTCACATTTAGGTGGTAGTTTCATAATTGAGAAACTGGCCGCTTTGTGACTTTGAGAACTGTTTAAGCAGCTAAGAAACATTAGACAAATTTCTAAAGCTCCATGGCATAAGTTCCTTATGTTTTGAAATTCCAAATGAAAAGAGCAATTTCTGGGGCCAGCCCACGGCCAAGTGGTTAAGTTCACGTGCTCTGCTTCCAGGGCAAAGAGTTTCACCACTTTGGATTCTGGGGATGGACACAGCACCACTCATCAAGCCCTGCTGAGGCGGCTTCCCACACAGCACAACCGGAAGGACCTAGAACTACAATATACAACTATGTACTGGGGGCTTCGGAGAGAAAAAGAAGAAGAAAAAAAAGACTGGCAACAAATGTTAGCTCAGGTGCCAATCAAAAAGAAAAAGAAAAGAGCAGTTTCTTAGGCTGGCATTTTATAAGACACACTGAAAGAATAGTTTCTTGTTAACTGAGATTAAAAAGGAGATCTTATACGTTTAATATTTTAGTATTTTATACTGTAAGTAGGAGGGAATTTTTAAAGTGAAGTTATGAGGTTTATTATTAGCCAAGGCCTTTCAAAGCAGTGGTAAAGCTAAATAAAATAGAATGCTTATCAAAAAAGAAAAAAATCCCCTTATTATGATTTAGAACAGGTCTGCAAATTTTTTCTGTAAAAGACCAGAAAATAAATATTTTAGGCTTTGAGAGTCATAGGGTCTCTGTGGTAACTACTCAACTCGGTCCTTGCAGTAGTTGCGTTCCAATAATGCTTTACTTAAGGGCACTGAAATTTGAATCTCATATAATTTTCAACTGTTATTAAATATTCCTTTTGTGATTTTTTCCCCCAACTATTTAAAAACATAAAAAGTATTCTTAGCTTGAGGGGCCACACAGAAACAGGCAGGCAGTAGGGTCGATTTGGCACGGGCTTTAGTTGCCCACTGGTTTAGACGATTGATCTTCCTTCTTATCAAATCTTCCCCCAGCAACTGCTGAGTGGAAAAGTATAAAAATCGCCCTCTCGGTGGAAAATGTTAACAAAGCTTCTGGACTGGAAAGGGTCGTTAAGTATAAAAGAAAGGGGCGCGGCAACCTCTCCCCGGAGACTCAGGGCTCGGATGCACGCCACAAACCGCTTGCAAAGTGGGAGCCCAGGGCATGAGGGGGTAAGAAAAGGAGGGGGGGATTTACCGCTCCCTGGGCCCCGAGGGCCCTATGCTAAACGTTTGTCCCAGGGCATCTCATTTAACCCCGATAGCAACTCTGCTGGAGGGGGTGTCATTTTTCTCCACCAAGATGAAGAAAGGGGCTTAAAATGCTTAAGTGAATGATGCAGTCACACAGCCACTAAGCGACTGACACTGAATTTGAACCCTGGACACTCTCCGCAAAGGGCGGAGCTCTTGCCACGACGCCCACTTGGCTCCGGCCTAGCGGCCAGGGGTAACAACCTGAGCAACAGGCTCACGCGGTCCTCGGGACAAGCGGCCTGGGCGCCGGCGACTTGCGGCGGCCCACCTTCCCCGCCTTCCTCTCCGGAGGACGCGGGCTCGGCGGCGGCGGGGTCCTCGGATTGCTTCTCCATACTGGCTCGGCCGAAGAGCCACCGCGGAGGACCAGCCAACGCCGCCTCAGAACCGGACCCGTTTCCCGCCTCTAAATTGATACCCGGAGGGGCGGGGGAGCCGTGGCAGCGCGCCCCACCCCTTCCGCCCCACGGCCCCACCCCTTCCGCCTCGTCTTCCGGTTGCGGTGGGTCCTGCTGTCCCTTCGTTTCTCCCAGCTGAAGTCATTGCAGACCGCTAGTACAAGGTTCTAAAGGGGCTGGCTTGGTGGCTTAGTGGTTAAGTTTGCGCGCCCTGACTTGGCGCTCGGGGTTCCCGGGTTTAGATCGCAGGCGTCAGATGCCGGCAGGGACATACAAACTGCTCACCAAACCACGCTGTGGTGGCGTCCCATAGGCAAAACAGAGGAAGATTGGCACGGTTGTTAGCTCAGGGACGATCTTCCTCACTCTCACACACACAGGTCAGAGAACTTTGTCAGCTCTGTCGAGTGCTGTGTTACAACCGGTTGGGACGGCGGCAGCTGGGAGGGAAACCCCCGGCATAAATGGTCATTCAGCCTTGGCGCTGCGACAGGGGAGCTCGGGGACCGCGCCTTTTTGACCCGTCTTGGCACTCCCCTTCCATCCGTGGCCTTGGAAAATGAGTGTGAAAGAGAAACATTGGAGGGTTAAGCAGATTTTTGATCTGAGCTCGTAATGTCCAGACCCCTCGTTTGGCAGAGAAATGAGTGGGCTAAGTTCAGAGAATCTCACGGTCCCCTACGAGGCAGTGCAGACACTTGAACCCCAACCTTCCAGCATGAAGTTTAGCCGTCAGAAGATTCGCAGTCAACAGAGTAGGGTGCCTCCACGTGTCAGCTTGTTGATCCCGCAGATTACAGTTGAGGTTTCTTTGCTAGACAGTGCAGTGAGCGGGTAATGGAGAAAATGCAGGACGTACAAATGCACGAGTGATTTGTACTTTTTCATTAGGTGGTGTAAGGAACACTCTGTCCTTGAGGCACAAGCACAGCAGCTCCAACCTCTTTGAACAAGTGAGCCAAGCATTCCCTTCTATAGCTAGTTTCCCCTGAGTTGTACTTTTTTGTTGTTTTTGAGGAAGATTAGCCCTGGGCTAACATCTGCTGCCAATCCTCCTTTTTGCTGAGGAAGACTGACCCTGAGCTAACATCCGTGCCCATCGTCCTCTATTTTATATGTGGGATGCCCATCATTGCATGGCTTGCCAAGTGGTGCCATGTCCACACCCCGGTTCCGGGCCAGTGGACCCCAGGCGCAGAAGCAGAATGTGCACACTTAACCACTGTGCCATCGGGCTGGCCCCTCGTTGAGTTGTACTTGATCACACATTGCTCCCCTTTCTCCCTCTCCATCATCAAAGTAAAATAGCTCCTGGTAAAACTTAGATTCAAAAGGCATGGATGGTAAGACATAAAATAAGATGTTAGGTTCACCTCTCCTACTTCAAACTCCTGGAAGAACATTGTTTCATTTTCTGTTTTACACAAAAGTGGTCCTATTGTTTTTTTTCACTTTACCATTTTATCTGAGAAGTCTTCTAATATCTCACATCAATCTCATCCTTTTAAGCAGTTGCCTATCAGGTGTCCACCGGCGAAATTTGGGGCGTAGACTGTGCAGTAGTTGTCCAATCTGAGCATGCATCAGAATCATGGGGAGGGCTGGTTAAAACAGACTGCTAGGTGCCTCTCCAAATCACTGATGCCGACTTGCATTTCTAACAAGTTCCCAGGTGATGATGTTGCGGTTGGGGATGACGCTTTGAGAGCCACTACACTAATGGATCGTAATAATGAATTAAACAAAAAAAACTGAGTAAAAAAGGGGCAGGTGTGGGTGGGGAGCTATTCTTTAGAGAATGTCCAAATAACATAGAAAGGGATGATAACTACCAGTGAGATAAATAATTCAAAGCCAAGGATCAGTAATGGATGCTAAAACTCAAAAGAGCACCTTTACAGCAGAGCTGTATTGGTAGTTACCACCTTGACCAGGTTATCAAACTTGGTATCGCCGGTAGTGTAACAATCTGATATGTGACTCTAATATGATGCATAAGTTGTACAAATCACCTGTATTCTTGCCAAAATGCATAACCTGAACTTAACTATGAAGAAACAAACAAGAAATCTAGAATGAGGGACATTCACAAGACAAATGGCCTGGACAATTCATGTCCATGCCTTGAAAAACAAAAAGCAAGGAAACTATTCTATATGGAAAAACAAATAAACTTAATTGGATCCTGAATTGGGAAAAAAGTTTGTAAGTCATTTTTGGAACCATTGAGGAAATTTGAATATGTGCTACATATTATTACATGTGGACTTGTTAATTTTCTTAGCGTGATAAAAAGATTGGGGTTATTTAGGAAGATGACCTTAATTCTTAGGAGCTGCATTTTAAGATGACATTATCTTGACCCCTGAAATTTACTTTCAAATAGCTCTGGAAAAAAAAAACGGACTACATATACATGTGCTCACATGTGTGTATATATAATCCCCCTACACACTGTCTCTGTCCACCTGTAGTTTGTTTGCCTACATAAATCACTAGAACTTTGTCCCCTATAAGGAAATACAATCCTTTCTCATGTCCATGAAATATTAAAAGTCACTTACTTTATCCACAGAGAAAACACTAACAATTTCAAAAAGGCTTTGTACATATCTCCAATGAAATTAAGAATCACCAACATTAAGATGTCTGACAAAAAAATTAAAAACAGAACTGTCTACTTAGAAAATTAGTTAAATAATCTTCAGATCAAAAAGGACCACAAAAGAAATTGTAACTTAACCAGAAATTGAACAAAAGGAATACTTCAGAAACAAGCTATCTCATGGGGCTGGCCCAGTGGCCAAGTGGTTAAATTCCTGCACTCCACTTCAGCGGCCCAGGGTTTTGCTGGTTCGGATTCTGGGCGTGGACATGACACCGCTCATCAGGCCACGCTGAGGCAGCGTCCTACACGCCACAACTAGAAGGACCCACAACTAAAAATATGCAGCTATGTACTGGGGGACTTTGGGGAGAAAAAGGAAAAATAAAATCTTGAAAAAAGAAACAAGCTATCTCAGAAGAAAAGGTATAAAGGGTTTTATCACTAAAATACATTAAGTATTTAACTTAAACTAGAAAATAACCGAAAGAAAAATAGATGGTGAGAATTAACATAAAAGCTAAAATGACAAAATAAAGGTAGTAGAAATGATAACACCAAAACTGGTTCTTCCAAAACACCAATAAAAGAGCCCCTGGCCAAGCCTAATTAGAAAACAAAAGTATTCAGTATCAGGAATGAGAAAGAAGATATAACTATAATACAGAAGAGATTAATTATATATATCATGCACCTCTACAGCTATAATTTTTAAAATGTAGAATAAGGGTAGAATGCCCAGTGCCACAGCGGTTAAGTTCTCATGTTCTGCTTCAGTGGCCTGGGGTTCGCCGGTTCAGATCCCAGGTGCGGACATGACACCACTTGGCAAGCCATGCTGTGGTAGGAGTCCCACATATAAAACAGAGGAAGATGGGCACGGATGTTAGGTCAGGGCCAGTCTTCCTCAGCAAAAAGAGGAGGATTGGCAGCAGATGTTAGCTCAGGGCTAATCTTCCTCCCAAAAAAAAAAAAAAAAGTAGAGTGGGTGATTTTCTGTTAACAGTGAGAGGAAAATCCCTAAAAGACCATGGAAAACTACCATTTTAAGCAGCTCCAGGCCAAATGACTTAACACTTTAATTTAGCTAGTTTTAAATCAAAAAGTAAGGATTTCAAATTATAAGACTTGAAAATGAAAACCTCTTTAATCCACTTTAAAGCTGGTAGAATAAGACAGAAAAACAGTAGCAACAACAAAAACCAAGCCAATTTCCCAAATGAGATGCAAAATTTCTAAATGAAATATTAGCAGATCAAATCTATATACCACGAGCAGGAATTCATTCCATTTTAGGAAACCTCTAATGTAGAACATTACAGCAAAGAGAAAAACCCTAATGACATAAGCTAAAAAAGTAAATGCAATTCCACAGCTTGCCTATTAACTCTAAACAGGAAGAGAAAAATATCTAAAATATAAAGCCCACTTAAAGACTAACAGCAAAAATATTAAATGGTAAAAGTAAAGAGATGTCCAATCCAGGAACAAGACAGGTATCTACTGATCATCAATGATTATTTTGGAGATTCTAATAAATACCATGAACATTGAAAAAAATAACATTTTTGGACTTAAGGCCTAGAAAACTCCAAAAAAAACAAATCAAGTAAGAAAACTGATGTGAACTGGATAAGAAAAATACAATTAGGAAATAGATCCTATTCACAAGTGACAAGAAACCATAAACCTGGTAATAAACTTGACAAGAAAAGTCCAGCAATTATATAATTAAATTCTACCTTTGTATTGAAGGGCATGCGGCAAGCCCTGGAGAAAAATGTTTCTGGATGGGACAATAAGGTCAGTCCATCTTGAACTAGTAGACAATGTACTATGTATATACACACACATATATACAGACACACACATATATAATGCAAAGTCAAAATCTCAAAGGAGCTTATCACTAACTGGACATAACTTTTTTCTTTTTAAAGATTTTATTTTTCCTTTTTCTCCCCAAAGCCCCCTGGTACATAGTTGTATATTGTCAGTTGTAGGTCCTTCCAGTTGTGGCATGTGGGACGCTGCCTCAGCATGGCCTGATGAGTGGTGCCATGTCCGCACCCGGGATCCAAACCAGCGAAACCCTGGGCTGCCAAAGTGGAGCGTGCGAACTTAACCACTCGGCTACGGTGCCGGCACTTGGACATAACTTTAAAGTTTATGTGTGTTCAAAATTGTTCCCGAATATTTGAAAAATAGTGGTCACCTCATCTTACCAGATAAACTTAACATAAACTATTATCTCAGGAAAAAACAAGCAGATCAGGAAGCAATAGATGGGTATTACTGTTTCAATGCAATTGGACAAGAATGATATCTGGCACAAATGAGCATCCATCTGGAAATAAGAATCCTACCCTCACACCACATAGAAAAAGTTTACTAAAGGATTATAGCACTAAATGGGAAAAATTTCAAAATTTAGCAGATGT